GCAGATGGCGGAAGTGTCGGAGGATGATGCGTTGGATCCGGAGGTTGGTGGGGTGGTACGTGAGGACGAGGGGGATTCTTTTTTGGTTTTTATTGCGTGGACGGGGTGTGAGGGATGAGGTGCGGGAGATGTGGGAGACACGGTTGAGGGCGTTCTCGACCACCGAGGAGGGGAAGTTACGGTCCTTGAAAAACGAGGACAACTGAGATGTACGGGAGTGGAATGCCTCATCCTGGGAGCAGATGCGGCGGAGGCGAAGGAATTGGGAATAGGGGATAGCATTTTTGCAGGAAGGTGGGTGGGAGGAGGAGTATTCTAGGTAGCTGTGGGAGTCGGTGGGCTTGAAATGAATATCGGTTTCTAGGTGGTTGCCCGATATGGAGACAGAGAGGTCCAGGAAGGGGAGAGAGGTGTTAGAGATGGTCCAGGTAAACTTAAGGTTGGGGTGGAAGGTGTTAGTGAAGTGTATGAACTGTTCGAGCTCCTCGTGGGAGCACGAGGCGGCGCCGATACAGTCATCAATGTAACGGAGGAAGAGGTGGGGTTTAGGGCCGGTGTAGGTACGGAAGAGGGATTGTTCCACGTAACCTACAAAGAGGCAGGCGTAGCTTGGGCCCATGCGGGTACCCATGGCTACCCCCTTTGTCTGTAGGAAGTGGGAGGAATTGAAAGAGAAGTTGTTGAGTGTGAGGACGAGTTCGGCTAAGCGGATGAGGGTATCAGTGGAGAGGGACTGGTCGGGCCTGCTGGACAGGAAGAAGCGGAGGGCCTTAAGGCCATCTGCATGGGGAATGCAGGTGTAGAGGGACTGGACGTCCATGGTAAAGATGAGGTGTTGGGGACCTTAAGTAACCCTCGTTTCTTTAGCAAGCATCATTATTTTTATTACTTGTATAGTGCAGTTTATTACATTTAGCACTTGTCCTGTGCAGCTAAAAAATTGGGATCATAACCCCGTTTCATTTGAGGCATTCATTCTTTTTGGATGTGGTGTCTTTCTTGCCCTTGTTAGCAGTTGCAGTCAGCTTGCTATGACAAAACTTTCCACCAATTCTTCACATAGAGATGCTCTGAAAGAATAATCTTTGCCGACATATCTCAGGGGATTACGGAGGTGGAGCAAGCTAAAGTGGAAGTGTTGCTGACTCAGAAGTCAATGTTAGTCAATTGGGAGTCTTTAAAAATTCTTCTTTTATGGGATGTGGGGCATCTCTGGCTAAGCTCACATTAAATGATTATCCCTGATAGTCCAGAGGCTAGTTAAGAGTCAACCACATTGCTATTGGGTCTAGAGTCTTGTGTAAGCCAGACCAAGTAAGGATGGCAGATTTCCTTCCCTAGAGGTCATTGGTGAACCAGATGGGTTTTTATAATAATCACAACAGTGACATATTGGCCATGATGCTTCCACCAGTAGGAGAGACTAGGACCCGAGGGCACAGCCTCAGAATGAAGGGACGACCATTTAGGAGTGAGAAGAGGAGGAATTTCTTCAGCCAGGTTTATGTTCCAGGTTTTCATTTCATTTAGTTCAAACCCACATCTCCAGGACATGAGTCTGGGCTTCCAGCTTTCTACCCAAGCAACGTTACTAAAATGCAACTGCAACAGGACTGAGTAAGAGTGAGGGAAGCAGAAATTCGGATAACCATAAGATTTGGAGGGAGGATGTTAGCAGGCCTGCCCAGGAATACATTGAAATGTAGAGGCAACAGAGGGATGAACAAGGGTTTCAACTGCAAATAAGCAGGGGCAGGGGTGGAGGTATCTGATGTTATGGATGGCGAAATAATGTGTTCTCAGCAATGGGCTCATCTCAGCTCAGTTAAATACCAAGATTGCAATGGTTCAATTCAGCCTTGGAAAATTACCAGGAAGCGGAATGGAGTGAATGGCTCTGTTGGAGCAAGACTCAAGGAAAATGGCTTCAATCTTTCCAATATTTGGTTGGAGGAAACACCTGGCATGGGGATGCAATGGCCGAGTGGTACTATCACTAGACTATTAATCCAGAGACTCAGCTACTGTTCTGAGGACCTGGGTTCGAATCCTGCCATGGCACGTAGTGGAATTTGAATTCAATTTTAAAAAATTGGAATTAAGAATCTATTGACGACCATGAAACCATTGTCAATTGTCGAAAAAACCCACCTAGCTCACTAATGTTCTTCAGGGAAGGAAATTTGCCATTCTCACCTGGTCTGGCCTGTATGTGACTCTGGACCCACAGCGATTCTTAAAAATGCCCTCTGAGTAATAAATGCAGGCCCAGCCAGTGATACCCTCATCTCGTGAATGAATAAAAAACATCCAGCACAGGATATCGATCTCCAGTGAAGCAAATAAAAGACTTTGGAGGGATTGCACCAGGTGGTATTGAGGTAGAGCTTTGTCTTATTTCTGATAAAAGTCAATTCAATACAGTGACAGGGGTCAGGAAACTTGATTGCAGGGGTACATAGGAAAGATGAATATGGATTTAGGATATAACAACAAGGACACTGGAGAGGAAACTGAGTTCAGACTTGGGGTAAGGATCTGATGGGTCAGCTGTAGCCTTTTGATTGATGGTTGTAGTGGTGGCACAGTTAAAGGGGAAATGAACAGTATGTGAAAGATTGAACATTTAACAATATGAGATCCAGGAGAGAAGTGTAAATAGATGGTCACTAGTTTATGAGGAATAGGGTTGACGGAACAGGAGGTAGATCTCATGGTCAGGATGAACTTGCAAGATCATGACAAAAGAAAGAAGCAACAGAAGGGTGTGAGTTCAAGTCTAGGGCAACGGACAACATTAGAAGCAGTTTGGTCAGATGGTTTCAGAGTAAAGGCTGCTGACATGCAATCTTTTATAAGGGACTGACCCACATGAATACGGTTATCAATGGGCAGACATCCAAGCCCCCTCATAGGAGGCATTTGGGATAAATTGAGAATCCCTTGCTTTGTGAGCTATTTAATTGGTGAGTTGTGTCAGATAATTTGAAGGCCACATCTGTTTTCTTGTTTCTATTTGGCAGTGAGATTCAGCATGAATAGTAATCACTCAATTTGCATACACAAGCCAGCAGATTAATTATCATGAACACTACTAGCTATTTTCATATCAGGCTGAGTCAGCAAGTTGGCACAGAACTGTATGAAGAAAGAAAATTGATTTCCTTTTGAGTTCTCATTCAGCCAAATGAAAGCAGTAACAATGAAAACTCCATTCCTTGTACACGTAGGCTGAGCTACAGTCATGACCAGAGACTTCAATGTAACATTGCACAGTGGATATGCTTCATGTTTAACTGCCCCAGGGCAATGCTGATTCCTCCGCACGCTTGTCATGCTTCTACATAATAATTCATCCTGTACTGTAGGTTAGCAGCACACTTTCCTGGATAGGGTAAGAACCAGGTATTCACTCCATTACTTCACTATATCGTTCACCGTAGTACCTACAAGTCCATTCTGTGCTTTATCAGCTTCAACCCACACTGTGGTGGCTCAGTAGTTAGCACCATTGACTCACAGTACCAGGGACCCCGGTTCAATTCCACCCTTGAGTGACAGTGTGGATTTTCCACATTCTCCCTGTGTCTTTGTGAGTTTCCTCCCACAGTCCAAAAGAATGTGCAGGTTAGAGTGGGTTGGCCATGCTAAATTGCCTGTAGTATTGAGGGATGTGTGGACTAGCCATGGTAAAATATGAGGTTCTGGGGATAAGGCAGGGTCTGGGTAGATGGTCTTTGGAGGGTGATGTAGACACAATGGGCCGAATGGCCTCTTTCCGCACTGTAGAGGATTCTATGATGTCAGGACATATAGAGGCTGACACCACAGAAACAGACCCATCCACAGGTCCAACTCATCCACACTGACCAAGTTTCCCAAACTAAACTAGTACCATTTGCCTGCATTTGGCCCCTATCCCTCTAAACCTCTCCCATTCATGTACTTGTCCAAATGTCTTTAAAATGTGACTGTACCTGCATCTACCGCTTCATCAGGAAGTTCATTCCACATTCGAACCACCCTCTGTGTGGAAATGTTGCCCCTCAGGTGTCTTTTAAATCTTTCGCCTCTTACCCTAAAAATATGTCCTGTAATTTTGAACGCCCCTATCCTAGGGAAAAAGCCTTTATATCCATGTCCCACATAATTTTGCAAACCTCCTATAAGGTAACCCTCTCAACTTCCAATGCTTCAGGGAAAAGAAGTCCCATCCTACCCAGCCTCTCCTTATAACTCAAACCCGCCAGTTCCAACAACATCCTGGTAAATCTTTTATGAAACATCTCCAATTTAATAATATCTTTCCTGTAGCAGCACGACCATAGCTGTACACATACTCTAAAAGTGGCCTCACCAACATCCTGTACAACCACAATATGACATCCCAACTCCTAAACTCAATGGTCTGAGCAATGAAGGCAAGAATGCTAAATGCCTTCTCCACCACCCTGTCTGCCTATGATGCAATTTCAAGGAACTATGTACCTGAACCCCAGGTCTCTCTGTTCAACAACATTACCCAAGACCCTACCATTATATATGTAAGTCCTGCCCCAGTGTTCATTTTATCAAAGTGCAACACCTTGCATTTATCCAAATTAAACTCCATCTGCCATTCTTCAGTCCATTGTTCCAATTTCCCTTTGTAATCTTAGATAATCTTCTTCACTGACCACCATACCACCAATCCAGTTCTAAGGAAGGGTCACTGGATCTGAAATGTTAATTCTGATCTCTTTCTACAGATGCTGCCAGACCCGCTGAGGTTTTCCAATAATTTCTATTTTTGAGCCACCAATTTTGGCGTCATCTGCAATCTTACTAACATTTTTTTACTCATTCATGAGATGTGGGCACCGCTAGCTGGAGCAACATTTATTGCCCATCACTAGTTGTCCAGAGGGCAATTAAGAGTGAACCACATTGCTGTGGGTCTGGAGTCACATGTAGGCCAAACCAGGTAAGGATGGCAGATTTCCTTCCCTAAAGGACATCAGCGAACCGGAAGGGTTTTTCCTGACAATCAGCAATGGTTTCATGGTCATCATTAGACTCTTAATTCCAGATTATTATTGAATTCAAATTCAATATGCCATGGCAGGATTCAAACCCATGTCCCCAGAACATTACCTGGGTCTCTGAATTAATAGGTCTTGCGATAATACCACCAGGCCATTGCCTCCTAAGTTGGCATCCAGATGGTTTATATAAATGAAGAGGAAGAATTGTAGATCATAGGGCTATAAGAAAACAGGCAGCAGAGTGCAGAGTGTATAACAGTGTTTTCTGTTTGATCCACAGGAAAAGCTTCCCTTCACAGCATGCTACAATCTCTGCCTTCGCTGCAGTCTACATCTCGGTAAGTCACTCTCTTCCCTAGTACCGACACTGGACAAAAGACTAATACAGTCTGCCAGTGGGAATGAGGAGACTTTGCTGTACAGTTTTAACATCTACTTTCATCTTCTACAGAATTAATTACTTTCACTTTTCATAAGAGTTTGAATGTCTCAGATCTCTCAAACCTCTGGAGTCTCACCATCCTCTCTCACTCCTGTAGAATTTCTCTGTTACCAGACGTTCCCACAATATTTCACCTAACCATTACCAATCCACGCTGTAAATTTCAGATCTCGGGTATTCCTTCAGCACAGAAGTATCGACTGACTGCTTAAACAGTCCAATATTTTCTGTTCAGAAGCGTGTCACCACTGTTGAATACGTAATTATACAATAGCATAGCCCCAGGGTAGAGTGATCAGATTAGTGAAGTGTCCAGGGATATGCAAGCTAGGCTGATTTAAAAAACTGGTGCCACAATGGCTCAGTGGTTAGCACTGCTGCCTCAAAGCCCCAGGGACCCAGGTTCGATTCCAGCCTTGGGCAACTGTCTGTATGGAGTTTGCACATTCTCCCCGCGTCTGTGTGGGTTTCCTCCCACAGTCCAAAGATGTGCAGGTTGGGTGGATTGGCCATGGTAAAATGCCAGGAAGGTGCAGGCTAGGTGGGTTAGCTACAGGAAATGCAGGCTTACAGGGATAGGGTAGGGGTGTTGGTCCCAATTCAGAGGGTTGGTGTGGACCCATTAGGCCTGCTTCCACATTGTAGGGATTCTATAATTACCTCATAGTTGGCTTTAGTCAACTGTCCTCCCCTGCACTATTTGGCCAGACTCTGGAATACTTTACCTTTGGGAAGGTCAGATTAGTGTCGGAGAGGGGACAGCCAGGATTCACAGAATGATACCGAGACGACAATAACTTTAAGTTTATCTAGTCTATAATGTGATAAAATGTCCTAAAGCATCTTGCAGAAGCATTAGAGAACTGAATTAGAGCCCAAGCCATGAGGCAATGTCAAGGCAGATGGCCAAACATTTGCTCCAAGGGCTGGGTTTTGAGGGACTTCTTTAAAGCGGAAAGAGAAATAGGATGTAGGAGGGAATTCCAGACCTTGCCACCAAAGATGGAGTGATTTTAAAACTAAGGATGTGCAAGAAACTAACATTAGACCAGTGCAGATGATTTGAATGTTGTAGGTGGATTACAGAGATAGGGAGCGCAAAATTACACAGGGGTTTGAAAGGAAGGGTGTGACTTTTAAAATGAGGACATAGCTTGACCAGGAGCCAATGTAAGTCAGTATTGGGTAATCAGCGAACAAGACTTGGTGCAAGTAAAAGTACAGGCGGCAGAGTTTTGAATGATTTCAAGGCATGGGCAGGTTGGGCCGAAGGGCCTGTTTCCATGCTGTAGAGCTCTATGACTCTAGGACTGTATATTAATTTCCAAGTTTTTTTTTTAACTGTTTTCCCTGTTGAGCAGGAGGAGAACCAATTGTGAGTGAAATTCTGACTGCGATTAGTTTAAAAAGGAATCAGTTAAGTAATCTCACTGAGCTGGGCATTGCTGGAGGTGGTGTCGGAAGGAGACTGATTTAAGTTTACCTTTGTCGCAGTCATGTAGGATGTCATTTGTGCCTTGGGCTTAGGCGGGTAAATTGGGAGCATCTACGTTTGGCTTGTATTCTTAAGGGATTTGAAGGTGGAGGGGCAGTCTAATAAAAGTGCTTGGAAAGGATTTTATGCATCGATTTGGAGAAATTTTCTGTGAGGGCAGAAGCTAGGATAGGACATAATCTTAACCTGCATTAAGGAAACACCTTTTTTCACACAGAAGCTTGTTAGCAGTGTAGAATTCCTTTCATTAAAAGTTAGTAGCCCTGGGGCATTTGGAGCTTTCAAACTGGATCGATAGGTGTCAGTCAAACAGGGATATCAAGCGATCTGGAGCTTACACGTGTAAATGGAATTGAGACACAGATCAGCCGTGACTCGACTGAAAGATGGAACATTTTGACAAAGGACTGAACAAAATGTTTCCTGTATTTTCTTTTTCAGATGTACTTTAACTCAACGATATCTGACTGCACCAAGCTCCTGAAGCCAATGCTGGTTTTTGCCTTTGCAATCGCTGCAGGTATTTGTGGCCTGACACAAATTACTCAGTACAGGAGCCATCCCATCGATGTATATGTGGGTTTCATCTTTGGGGCAGGAATCGCTGCATACCTGGTGAGTGATTAAGTGATGGGCTAAGCCTATTACATACTCTTGTAAATACTGTGCTGTGCTAATGATGGGGAGAAAAGTATACCCAGGGATGGTGAATATCTGCAAGGCCTCTCTCACTCAGCTTTCTCAGTAATGAGCCCCTGCCAAAGTTACAGTGGGTGATCAGGATGCCCTCTGGACTCTCAATGGAAAAACCTGAACAGCACCTAAGGTGAAGGAAAATCTTTGCATTTATACAACCTCTTTCGAGATCTCTGGACCTGTGGCACAGTGGCTCAGTGGTTAGCACTGCTGCCTCACAGCACCAGGGATCCAGGTTTGATTCCAGACTTGGGTGGCTGCCTGTGTGGAATTAAAATGTTCTCCCTGTATCTGCGTGGGTTTCCTCCGGATGCTCCAGTTCCCTCCCACAGTCCAAAGATGTGCAGCCTGGGTGGATTGGCCATGGGAAATTGCCCATAGTGTCAGGGATGTGCAGCCTAGGTGGATTAGCCAAAGGAAATGTGGGGTTATGGGGATGGGGTTGAGGGTGAGGTCTGAATGGGATGATCTTCAGAGGGTTGGTGCACAATCAATAGGCTGAGAGGCCTCTTTCTGCACCATAGGGATTCTATAACATAAGGCACTTTATAGGAGACAGGGAGAAGTGGTAACCAACAAGATAACACAAACCACAGTGAGATAAATGAGGTGATGTTGGTTGAAGGTAAATGTTGGCACCAAAGGGAACCTCTTTGCTCTGTTTTAAATCCTGTCATAAGAGCTTTTAGGTTCATTGGAAAGGCCAGATTTGTCCTTGGTGTAATATCTCATTCAAAAAGTGGGAGACCAACTCCCTCAGCATTGCGTGGAAATAAAAAAGGATAAAAGAACAAAGAACAATACAGCACAGGAACAGGCCCTTCAGCCCTCCAAGCCTGTGCCGACACATTTTGCCCTTCCATACTAAAACTGTTTTCACTTTTATTCCCTTCCTATTCATGTATATGTCCAGGTGCTTCTTGAGTGCTACTATTGTGTCTGCTTCCACCACCACCTCTGGCAGCATGTTCCAGGCACTCACTACCCTTTGTGTGAAAAACATACATCGCACATCTCTTTTAAATTTCCCCCTCACACCTTGAACCTGTATCCCCCAGTAATTGACTACTCCATCCTGGGAAAAGTCCTCATACTTTCCACTCTATCCATTGCCATTCACAATCTTATAAACTTCTATCAGGTCGCCTCTCAACCTCCTGTGTTCCAGTGAAAACAAACCCAGACTATCTGACCTTTCTTCTTAGCTAAAATCCTCCATACCTGGCAACATCCTGATAAACCTTTTCTGTTTCCTCTCCAAAGCATCCACGTCCTTCTGGTAGTGTGGTGACCAGAACTGTACACAATATTCCAAATGTGGCCCAACTCAAGTTCTATAAAGCTGCAGTATAACTTGCCTATCCTTATACTGCATGCCCCTTCCAATGAAGGCAAATATCCATAGGCCTTTTTTACTACCTTAGCTACTTGCGTTACCACCTTCAGTGATCTATGGACCTGCACACCCAATTTCTCTGCATATTAATACTCCTAAGGCTTCTGCCATTCACTGTATAATTTCCACCTGTACGTGACCCTCCAAAATGCATCATCTCACATTGTCTGGATTAAACGCCATCTGCCATTTTTCTGCCCATGCCTCCAATTGATTTATATCTTGCTGCACCCTCTGACAATCATCCTCACTATCCACTAGTCCACCAATCTTCATATTATCCACAAACTTACTAATTGGACCAGCTACATTTTCCTCCAAATCATTTGTGTAGATCACAAACAGCAGAGGTCCCAACCCTGATCCCTGTGGAACATCACTAGGTCACAGCCCTCCATTCCGAAAAGCATCCTTTCGGAACCCTCTGTCTACCCTCTGTCTCCCATGACTAAGCCAGTTCTATACCCATCTTACCAGCTCACTCCTGATACCATGTGACTTCACCTTTTGTACCAGTCTGTCATGAGGGATCTTGTCAGAGGCTTTATTGAAGTCCATGTAGGCAACATTAACCACTTTTCCCTCATCAATCATCTTCGTTGGCTTCTCAAAAAACTTGATCAAGTTAGTGAGACATGACCTCCCTCGCACAAACTATGCTGTCAATTCTAATAAGTCCATTTGTTTCTAAATACGTATAGATCTTATCCCCGAGAATCTTTTCCAATAATTTCCCTACCACTGACATGAGGCTCACAGGCCTGTCATTTCCAGGATTATCCCTGTTACCCTTCTTAAACAATGGGACAACATTGGCTATTCTCCAGTCCTCTGGGACCTCACCTGTGGCCAAAGAGGATACAAAGATGTCTGTCAATGCTCGAGTAATTTGTTCTCTTGCCTCCCTCAATATTCTGGGATAGATCCCATCAGGACGTGGGGACTTATCTATCTTAATACTTTTTAAGACGCACAACACCTACTCCTTTTTAATAGCAACTTGGCTCAGAAACTCGACACTCCCTTCCCTGAGATTATCCTTCACCAATTGCTTCTCTTCGATGAATACTGACACAAAGTACTCATTTCAGACCTCAATTATCTCTTCTGGCATAGATTCTCTCCTTTGTCCTTGAGTGGGGCAACCCTTTCCTTGGCTATCCACTTGCTTTTTATATATGTCTAAAAAGCCTTGGGATTTTCCTTAATCCTGTTTGCTAACGAATTTTCATGACCCCTTTTAGCCCTTCTAATTCCTTGCTTAAGTTCTTTCCTACTTTCCTTGTATACTTCAAGAACTTCAGTTCCCATCCTCCTAGACCTCACATAAGCTTCCTTTTTTTCTTTTTGACAAACGTCATAATATCCCTAGTCATCCAAGGTTCATGTAATTTGCCATACCTATCCTTCATTCTCACAGGAATGTGCCACTTCTGAAATCCTACCAACAGCAGTTTGAAATACTCCCACACGTCCAATTTGGATTTACCATCAAACCGCCGTCTCCAACCAACGTTCTCCAGTTCCTGCCTAATATTGTTGTAGCTTGCCTTCTACCAATTTTACACCTTCACCCAAGGACTGCTGTTATCCCTGTCCCTGAGTATCTTAAAACTCACGGTATTATGGTCACCACTCCCAAAATGCACCCCGACTGAAATTTCACTCACCTGGCTGAGCTCAATTCCCAAAACCAGGTCCAGTATAACCACTGACTTCATTTCCTGAAGAAGGGTCCAGACCCGAAACGTCAGCCTTCCTGCTTCTCTGATGCTGCTTGGCCTGCTGTGTTCATCCAGTTCTACACCTTGTTATCCCAGTATAACCTCTTCCCTGGTTGGACTGTTTAGATGCTGTGTAAAGAAACCCTCCTGAATGGTCCTTACAAATTTTGCCACATCCAAGCCCCTAGCGCGAAGTGAATCCCAGTCAATATAGGAGAAGTTAAAATCACCCACCACAACAACCCTGCTGTTTCTACATCTTTCCAAAATCAGATTAGATATTCTCTCCTCTATCTCCTGCTGACTGTTGGGAGGCCTGTAGAATACCCCCAGCACTGTGATTTTCATCTTTCCTGTTCCTGAGTTCTACCCATATTGCCTTGCTGCACGAGTCCTCTGATGTCTCCTCCCTCAGTACAGCTGTGAGATACTCCCTTACCAGTAATGCAATTCCCCACCCCTTTTACCTCCCTTTCTATCACACCTGAAACATCTAAATCCTGGGACGTTCAGCTGCCAGTCCTGTCCCTCTTTCAGTCAAGTCTCCGTAATCGCAATAATGTCATGTTCTAAGTACTAACCAATGCTCTAAGTTCATCTACCTTGCCAATTATACTTCTCGCATTGAAACACATGCAGTTTGAGACCACCTCCCCTGCTCTTCTCAGCAGTGCTTCCCTGCCTGTTCTTGTTCTTAGTCATGTTTGTCCTGGTTTCTACTTCTCCCTCAATTTCTGCATCTACTGCCCTACTCCTCTGCTTCCCACCCCTCTGCCACACTAGTTTAAATCCTCCCTAACCACTCTACCAAGCACCATCCCAAGGACATCAGTCCCAGTCCTTCCCAGTGTAACCCATCTGCTTTGTACAGGTCCCACCTCCCCCCAGAACTGGTGCCAATGCCCCACGAATCTGAAACCCTCCCCCTCGTGCCATCTTTTCTGCCATGTGCTCATCCTATATATCCAACTGTTTCTACTCTGACTAGATCGTGGCACTGGTAGTAATCTTGAGATAACTACCTTTGAGGTCCTACAGTTCAGTTTCCTTCCTAGTTCTCTATATTCTGCTTTTAGGACCTTATCCCTTTTTTCAACCTACATCGTAAGTACCAACATGTACCACAACCACTGGCTATTCACCCTCCCCCGCCTCCAGAATGTCCTGCAGCCACTCTGAGACATCCAGGACCCTAGCACCAGGGAGGCAACACACCATCCTGGACTGTCGTTTGGAGCCACAGAAATGCCTATCCATTCCACTTACAACTGAGTCCCCTAACACTGCAGCATTTCTAGGCCTAAGACTCGCTCCCTTTGCAGCACAGCCAACCGTGGTGTCATGATTTTGGCTGTTACTGTTACCCCCTGAGAGGCTATTCCCCTCAATAGTATCCAAAATAGTATATCTGTTTTTCAGGGGAATAGCCACAGGAGATTCCTGCGCTGCCTGCTTAGCCCTCCTGCTCTGCCTTGATGGTCACCCATTCCCTTCCTGCCTGTGGAGTCTGAGCCTGCGGTGTGACCACCTCCCTATGTGTGCTATCCAAATGTCAGCCTAGATTAAATGCTCAAGTCTCTGGAGTGAGACTTGAACCCATTACCTCAGAAGAGAGAGCACTATCTGTCGAGATAGGGCTGATATCAAACAAAGCAGAAGGCAGTAATCCCAATCAGGAGAAGCCCCATTTGTAAGACCTGCCCACGAAGCTTAAAAGTAAGTTTTGAATTGATTACCATCCAGAACTCTGCTAAAGACAGTGCGAATAGTTAATGATATCGGCCCATTGGAGTGAGCCC